CAGGCTCTGAACTGTCAGCACAGAGCCGGATGTGGGGCCTGAACTCATGAACTGCGAGATTATGGCCTGAGAAGTCAGCTGCTTAACCTACTGAGCGACCCAGGCGCCCCCAGGGCACAAAAGGTTTAATGTAATCAATCTTTTCCTTTTTGGTTCCATGTCCACTATGATATTTTATTGTTTATTGCCAACATGCATATCTAATATGTGTTCAATAAGCATTTAGTAAATTCACATTATTAAAATAGTTACAAAAATGTTTTGAAGAGCCTGCAAAGTACAAATATTTACTATATGGCCCTTTACAAAAGAAGTTTGCCAGGGACAGAGAAAAAAGTAAAATGACAACACAAGGAAACAGATAAATCCAAAAAGACGGACAACTGGCCTCGCCTCCTCATTAGTCTCATTGTAAAAAAGCGGGGAGGGGCATTATTCTAGATAAAAAGACAAAGACATATAATAATCAACTGCAAGTGTAAACTTTGACCAGACCCTGAGATAAGCATATATAAAAAACATTTCTGAGGCACTTAGAGACATCTGAATACAGAGAGAATAGTAAATAAGATTAAAAGATTATTACTAATTTTCTAACTGTAACAATAGTATGGTATGGCTACATACAAGTATGTCCTTATTTTTTAAGCAATTCCTGCTAAAATACGTAAGAGTGAAGTATTACAATATTTGCAAGCTTTAAATGGTTATGCAAAACTGTAGATACATACGTGCATATGTACACAAAAGCATAGATGAGGCAAACGGAATTGTTTTTAAAGTACCAATAGTTAACATCCACGTGAGGACTAGAGATAACTACAGTACTATTCTTTGAACTTTTCTGAGTATTTAAAAATTTTTATGAATGAAAAAAGGCAGGTTACAAAAGAACATGCATCATATCAAATTTCTATTTAAATTTACAAATATTCACTTAAAAAATCTACAAGAATATACATGGCCAAGTGTTAAAATTGGTTATATCTCAGTAGCCGAATCATAGGTGATTATTAGTTTCTTTTTAATATTTCTTTGAACGGTCTGAGTATTTTATAAGGAATACGCATTACCTTCATATATTTGGAAAAAAACAAAAACTCCCTTAGAGAGCTTTGTAGGGAAAATTTGAGGGTAAACTGTTCATGTTTGGTACATGTTATGATTCATCATATTTGCTTCTCTTTTAAAAGAGATACTATGGCATGCTGATCCTTAAGACCAGAAAGAATGTGTTTTCAAAAGTGAGCTTCGAATGTTTTATAAGTGTTATTAAATTTAGTCTTACTACAAAAAGGTATCATTTTTAGATAATACATTTATAAGTAATGCCATAATAGTTTTTACACAGGTACTAAAAAGGTAAAGATCCTTTGAAATACCATTTTTTCCCAATCACTGAGTTGCTTATACATTGAGATCCTTTCTCTCAATGTTCTTTCCTTCATTTAGAATATCACTAACCCAAAAAAGTAAAAACAAAAAGCAAACAAACACCAACTTTCAATCTTCTTTCCAGAGGTGGAACCATCAAATAATGATTCCCTTCTTTGTCTTCAAATAAGTCATCTTCATTGCAATCCAATGTTTCACTCTAAGAAACAAAAAAAAAAAAAAATACTCTAAAACTGAAATTTTGAAATAAATTGAAAATTCATAGGATTAACAGAACACAAAGTTTATCCAAAGGGCAGTTTTCCATGTTACACACTCTTACATGAGACAAAAAAAATATGTATTTCCCCATCATTTCTTGTAACTAGAAAAAAATGACTATTATTACTACCACCACTGACCTAACACTTGTATACTGCTTCAAAAAGTATCAGCTTACTAGATTTTTTATAAAATCCCACAACTAGAGAAAATAGGAATTGTCCTCATTTTATTAAGAAAAAAAAACAAGACTCGGATTTTTTTTTCCAGATATTTCATATAGGTCTGAAACTTCAGGGGTATTATTTCACTTTTGCCCAAGATCTTAAGATATTATGAAGTGTTACTTCTTTTAATAGAGCAGTTTTATTTTTATTCCTTAATTAATCCAATGTTATCATGTTTATCAGTATAAAATGTGAATTTTCAGAAGCAACAATAAAGGCAACTTACAGTATTACTATCACGTGAGTGAACACCAGATATACTATATTTCAAATTTATATCAAAAGTATAGTCAATTTGGGGGCACCTGAGTGGCTTAGTCGGTTAAGGGTTCAACTGCTTTTTTTTTAATGTTTATTTATTTTTGAGAGAGAGAGAGAGAGAGCAAGAGAGCAAGTGCAGGAGGGGCAGAGAGAGAGGGAGACAGAATCCTAAGCAGGTTCCAGACTCCAAGCTGTCAGCATAGAGCCTGATGTGGGGCTTGAACCCACAAACTGCAAGATCATGACCTGACAGACACTCAACCAACTGAGCCACCCAGGTGACCCAAGGGTCTGACTCTTGATTTTGGCTCAGGTCATGATCTCATGGTTGTGGCATCTAGCCCTGCATCTGGTGCTACCCTGACAGTGTGGAGCCTGCTTGGGATTCTTTCTCTCCCTCTCTCTGCCCCTTCCCCACTTGCTCATGTGCATGCACGCTCTCTCTCACTCTCAAAATAAATAAATATTTTTAAAAAGTATAGTCAATTCGTGTAACATTTATTGAAAGGAGATTCAATGTATAATTTTAAAAAGTCAATGTAGGGGCGCCTGGGTGGCGCAGTCGGTTAAGCGT